TATTTACAGTATATCCAAGAATTGAGTCTGTGTAATGTATACAAAGGAAGTTACACTATACTTTATATACATAATTTTGTAGTCTCATATCTATGTAACCACAGAAGTTATTAATATAAGAGTGGCTTTTTTAATAGGTGTAGATTAGTATTAAATTCTTATAAGATGTGAGAGGTTTAAAATAAGGAGGTAAATTGTTATTAAGAGTATAGTACAAATATTAGAGTCTATATATCTTTACTATATGTTAGTTGTTTTATGTGATACTAGGGCGTATTAGAAGGTATCATACAGTAGTATAATTTCACAAAGTTATAAGGTTGTAGCTCTTGTATTTGTTGAGATATTACATGTACAAGTTTACTACAATTTTACTTTCTTTAGACTTACATTTCAAGTACTTGTATTTCTAGTTCTACAACACTCTACTCTATGACTAAGTATTTATTATAATTATACTACTATATTCAGTATTTGGATAAAGTTTTATTGAGATTACTTGAGTACTTGCTAAGTTATTAATGAAACATGCTTGAAATACTTGTATTTTACAAAGTTTTCAAGATATTTCTTATATATTAATTTATAGAAGTATGTTCAGACTCTGAAACTTTATAGAAATACTATTTTCAAACATATATACAAGATATAGCCATTAATTTTGTGAGTGGTTAGGAAGAATGTGTTGGAACTAAGTTGTGTTTATAGAGACTAAAAGTATTTTTGTCAGCAACAGTATAGAGGGGACCTGAAGGCTTAGCAAGGGGACCTAGGCTACAACTATCCTACACAACAGAAATACAGAATGCAAGTACTGGAATGTAGTTGGAACTTGTAGAATAGGCAGAGAGAGAGAGTGAGACAAGAGTAGAGTATATAGAGTAAGCCTAAGAGTACAGGACTACCTAGAGTAGATAAGATCAAGACTACAGGACCAGTCTGATCTTGTATGCCTATATATACTAAACTATACAAGAGTACTCAGGGAGCATGAGCTACTGAGAATGATAAGCCACAAAGAATGAAAGAAAGGAAGGTCAAAGATAAAGGTACAAAGAATGAAGGAATGGACAAAGGGTAAGAGACTATAGAATGAACAAAGAATGAAGGGGTAGTCAAAGGAATGGAATGATGAAGTAAGGAAGGGTAGTAGTAAGAGTCAGTATGCATATAGTCTATAGACAGCACCCCTGAGGGACAGAAG